GTGCCCAGGCCGAGGCTGGCGGCGGCAAACCCCCTTCACACGCCCAAAGGCGGCAACGGCTGCACGGGCGCTGCGCCGCCGACCTGCCTTGTCGAACTTGCTGTCCATCTTGCCCCTGAAGAAGCGGCGATCGCGCTCCGCCTCCCACAGCGCGTCGGTGGGCTGCCGCGGGCTGCCCCAGATGCGCATGGGCAGAGGGCCGTTCACGATTGGTCGGACTCCTCCGTCCGCATTGGGAATGAAGACCGGCATGGCACCCTGGGCGCCCATGGGCTGGGGCCACGCCTCCTCCTCGGCGCCGCCGCTCGCGCGCGGGCGCTGCCCCGCCGCGCTGGCCCCGCTAGGCGCGCGCCTGCCCTGGCTGCACTCCCCCATCGCTGCTCCCAGCTGCGTGGCCAGCAGGGCGAGCAGCCAGAGGGGCCAGGTCCGCTGCCTCAGCGACCAGCTCTCTCTTGCATGCCTGGGACACCTGCGGCCACTCCCCGCACGCGCTGCCGCGCCGCTCGGCTTGGCCACGCTCCGCTGCGGCCTGAGGCGGCCGAGGCACGTCGCCGCCTGCGAGCTCTCCATCGTCGCTGCTGATCTCGTCCATGGGGCAGGACTCGGCCCAAGGCGCTCCCTCGGGTGCTGGCGGGGGCACCGCGAGCTGCGCCCGCACCGCCTCCACCTGGGTACGTATGGCCGCCCAGGCCACCTCGAAGTTGCTGGAGCCCAGGTTTCTGGCAGCTTGTCCAGCTGCGTGAGGAGCCCTGGCACATGGCTGGCTCCAGCCCACTCGGCTGCGCGCTGGCGCCGCCGCTCCTCCGCCTCTTCGCGGGCTGCTTCCTTGAGGACCTGGGGCGCCCTGCTTGCCTCCTCCACCTCGCCGTCGAGCGCCGCGAGCTCGTCCTGGGCCTTCTGCAGCTGGGCCTCCGCGAGGTCCCGCGCCGCCTGCTTCTGCTCGAGGGCCTGGCGGGCTGAGCGGAGCCGCTTCTCTTCCTTGCTGATGGCGTTCGCCTCCTTGTGCAGCAGAGCCGACCGCGGCATCGCGGAGGCCTTCTGCTCCGCTGCCTCCTTCTGGGCGATGGCCAACTCTGCCCCCTTCGCCTCCAGCTGGTTGGTCACGACGTCCGTGAAGCAGCTGTCGACGCCGTCTGGCGGCCCAGCCTGCAGCGCCTCGAGCCGCTCGACCGTTGCCCGCAGCCTCTCGATCGCCGTGGCGCCTCCGTTGCTGGGCGCCCCACTCGCTGCTGAGGCCGAGGTCTGCGACTTGGTGGATGCCGTGCGCGACGCTGCGCTTCGGGCCTGCCGCTGGGCTCGACGCCCCCGAGGCTGGTCCACCCAGCCGTCCTTGTCAGCCTCGGGCTTCGCCTTGCCGCGGGGTGACTCTGTCGCCCAGGGCGGTGCGGCATACCCACAGCTGAGGCACGTGGGGCGCCAGTCCCAGTTCCAACAGCCGCAGCTGCACATCCAATAGGCCCTGCTGCGCCTGCCACTGCTGCCGCCGCGCTGGGACCTCGCCATGGCGCCAGCCGCGCTGCCCGCTGGGCAACGTCCCCACGCTGCGAGAGCAAGAGGCACTACAATAGTATGCACTGGCCCAAAGCGCGGAGACCCTCGCGCCCAGAGCGCCGCGAACGACTCGCGGTCGTCGGGTTCTCCATGGCCTTGAGCCAAAATGGCTACGGACTCTCTGCCGCGTGTTCTGCCGTGCTCCTGTGCGTTCTGCCGTGCTCCTGCTCGCTCTGCCGTGCTCCTGCTGCTTCTGCCGTGCTCCTATGTTTTGTGTGCTCTGCCGAGCTCCTGTGTGATCTGCCGAGCTCTTGTGTGTTTTGCCGTGCTCCTATGTATTCTGTGTTCTGCCGTGCTCCTCGTGCTCCTGCGCGTTCTGCCGTGCTGTGTGTGTGTTTGCCGCGCTCCTGTGTGTTCTGCCGAGCTCTCATGTGTTCTGCCGTGCTTGTGCGTGTTGGTCTGCCGCGATCTTGCCTATAGTCTGAAGATGTCTCAAACGAAAAGCTTCAGTTGAACATGCGTGAATTTAAATAGACATTTTGCATGTCTCATGCTTCGAGGATGTTTCGGACGATAGCCCCAATTTCATTTGTGCGTTGAACTCGCGACGTTCACTTTCTGGTGAAAGTCTCAAGCGAAACGCATGTTTTTTGTGAAAGGCGATGTTGCGAACAACTCAATGTGTTGAGGATGTCTCAAGCGACATGCGCATGCTGAGGAATCTCGAGGGCGCTCGTTTGGGGCTCGTTTAAGGCCGCTGCGATGCCTGAAAAAAATATGTCAGTGCGATGTCATACACACACATCTCTTTGTTGAGGCTGTCCCTAGCGAACTCGTCATTTTTAGAAGGCTGGCTTGGGCCGTCTGGAAGCCTTTTCAGTAGCGATTCCAAGACGATGTTAGAACAGCGGCTTTCAAACCGATGCTAATGTATGTTTCAGTTGTTTGAGGATGTCCCTAGCGAAATCTTCATGTTCGGCAGTCTTCAGGGCGCTCTTGGAGCCGTCTGTGGGTCCTGTTGGGGCTCTCATTTCTTCATTCTGAAGCACTTCAAGAACTATGTCAAGACGATGCTGAGAACATCCCATTATGTTGAGGATGTTCCCAGCGAGATGCTGATGTTCTGCCTTGCTTTTGTTTGGAGTCGGCCGTGCTGCCAGTCGTTTTCTGAGGATGTCCCTGGCGAAAACGTAGTTACCAAACATCAGGTGTACTCGTACACCTCCGTCGACATCTCATTTGGGCTACGATATCTCAGGCGAAACGCAAATGTTTACATATTGCTGAATTTCGCGGCGATCAATTGTTCGAGGATGTCTCGAACGAAACGCTTGTTGTGTTAAACGCGATGTCGCGAAGATCTCATGTGTGTGAAGATGTCTCATGCGAAATTGATATTAGGGGAATCCGCTAACCCTCACTCCCGTTGCACCCGCCCCTCTATACTAGCAAGAGATTTTGCGATATGCTGCGGATTCAGCCACAACGTCCAATTCGCTTCTCGTACCTCGAAGACGCTTCCCGTCATCCGCCGGACTCCTTGCGGGGCCACCAGGCTGGGCTGCGCGGCTGAGGTTGACATTGCACCAAGCTCCTGTGGAATTGCACCAATCTCGCGCTCCCGAAGCCAGCATCATTCGTAAATCACGCCAGGCCGCGCTCCCGAAAAACAGAATCTGCTGTAAAGCACGCCAGGCCCGCGCTCCCGCCCTTGCTGCAAATCGCGCCAGACGCGCGCTCCAAAGGCGATACCCTCCCGCAGATTACGCCAGCTTCGCGACCACGAAGCGTGCAACCACAGAGTCCAACATCTCAAGGTGCTTGCCTAAATGCCAGTGGTCCTCGCACGGTGTTCCCAGATGTTTTCAAAACAGCGCCGCCACGTCCCAGAATAGCTCTGACATCTCCCATTATGCTAGAGAGGGGGCCGGCGTCAGTGGGCGAAGCCCTTAGTTACATAGAGATAGAGATAGAGAGAGTGAGAGAAGGAACAAACAAAAGGAAGGGAGAGAGGGAGCAGGGTGGGAGGGAGGGAGGGAGCGAGAGAAAGAGAGAGAAAAACAAGAAAAGAGAGAGGGCGAGACAGAGAGAGAAGGGGGGAGAGGAGGACGAGGATAATGAGGAGGCGGATGCTGAGGCGGGGGAGGCAGAGAAGAAGCAAACGAAGGACAATGGTGATGATGATGATGATGATGATGATGATGATGATGATGATGATGATGATGATCAGGAGGAGGAGGAGGAGGAGGAGGAGGAGGAGAAGGAGGAAGAGGCGGAATACCATGGAGAACGTGAGAATTAGCAAGAGAGGAGAACGTAGACGGATGTGGGAGGAGGAGGAGGAGGAGGATGAAGCAGACAAATCAGAAGACGAATAATACAAATATTAAGAAGAAGAGAAGAAGGAGGAGAAGTGGCGAGCTGCTACGCAAAGCGCCTAGACTGGATGGGATTCGGAACGTTCACCGCTCCACTCGCTTCGAATTCCGGCCGCCCGTGCCCCCCCCCCCCTCGCCTGCTTGGCGCTCCGGCCCCCTATCTCCTGCTCCCCCACGGCACCCTTACGGACACCACGCTGGCCCCGCTGTGCCCGAGCAGGGAAGCGAACTCTGTGCACCGTCGCTGTGTCTGGCCCCGCACTGGAACACGCAAAAGACAGCGGACCCTGATCCATACGGGATCCTGGTGTATATATTTTTCGATGTTTCCCCGGGAGCGCAGGGGAAAAAAGTATACACCACACCACCCCTACGCCGTACCCGACCCTCAAGAAGTCCTGGAATTCAAAAACGGCCCGCCACTGTCAGTGTATATGCTCCAGTTTCCGACCAAGGACTATCGAATGCACGCCATGAACACGACGCAGATGGATCCACCCGAAAGCAAGACAACTGCCACTGCATATGGCCATCAAACCCTTGGCGATGATGACCTCCCGCATCAAAACAAACACGTCATGCAACAAGAGGCGCGTGCCGGATGCGTTATCCGCCGTGCATGGGCCACGCGACGCATCGCCCATCCACTCCCCGCCAGCGCCAGCGAGCACGGCTGCCTGACTCGACCGAAAAGACGATGATGTTTCTCTATGGGGCCGCTCTGTTCCAGAGTGAACTGACAACACCGGCTGGTCTCTCATTGGTCCAGGGCAACAGCCGCGAGCATCAAGGATCGGAAAATCGCGCTTGCAGCTGCGTGAATCCAATAAATAGATCCCCGTGCGGAGCCTCACCCTCATCTGGCGGGAGGTCCGAGGACAAGGACCGCGTCACGAGGAAGCGTCAGCTGTCAGCACTGCGACTACCGGCCAGAATCACAGTCCAGGCCAACAGAGACTTATGCTGTGACAGATCATGGACGCAAGAAAGCCAGACCGTCGCCCGCTCGGGCAATCATGCGGATCGAGAGTAACTGGCAGATAATATTGCCAATCCCACTGAGCCATCCACCTGCTGACATCTAATCACGGATGCAGCACTCGATGAGCAGGCTCAGCCGAAGGCCGACACTCAACAATCCAAGTCCCTCGGCACAACCACCGCGTATCCTGACTTGCCGCCAAATATTTTCCGGAGCTTCTCCCCGAATATGCACCAGACGAACCACGCAATCACAACTGTTACAAAGCCAACTGAGCCAAACATAAGAAGGACGGCGTTCTCTCCGATCGTCTCATCGCGGATTCGAAATCGAGCGATGATCTCTTCCAGCTCATTCATCACGTTATGTCCGCCAGTGCGCAAGGATTTCATGCCCACCAGTGAACTGATATTCATCTTCGAGATCGATTTCCTGCACTTCTCTCCAAAGCCTGCCTCCTGGCTGTTGAGCGCCAGGCATCTGAGCACCCTGGACTCTCCTGGCTGCACGTCCGCACAGAACCCTACCACCTCGTTTGCGCAGTGCTTTCGGGTTTTGAAGTTCAGGGTGGCACTGTTGTTGTCGGCGCGCCAGACCTTCAAGACCAGCTCCTTGCATTAGGTCCGGCATGTCCCCCTCCAGGGGGATTTTGGACGAAACAAATTTGAAATACCGCCAAGACATGCAAAATTATTCGAACTGCTCCAAAAGTGGTCCCCAGACGATTTGATTTTACTACTTTTGAATACTCCTCCTGTGGAGGGACAGGCCCCACTGAATCCTTGCACTCGCCGCTGCGAACCGAGCCGACCTTCTGCCGCAGGCACTCGTGCCAACGGGCCCCGCCGGGCGCGGTCTTGGGGCACAGCTCCCGGAGGTCTTCCATGCAGGCCGTGTGCATCCTCGGCACGGCGCGGAGGTCTGCGCTCTGCATCTGCATCACCTTTCGGTGCGATCGAGAGGGGTGCCGAAAGAACTGGTGCGAAGGCCGAGAGCAGTTCCTGTCCCTTTTGGGCAAGGTTCGCTGTCGGCGTCGCCGCGGAGGCTGCCCATTCGAGGCCGAAGGCCGACTGCCCAACAGCGGCCGCTGTAGGTTTTTTGACAGCATCTGCTGTTGGGCATCGTACCCCTTTTCTCCATACAGATTTCGGGCGTCCAAAACCTTGAGCACGGCGCTCTTGCAGTCCGTGTCGTGGATGTCTTCCACGTTGTCCGTGACGCAGTCTATCCAAGTGCCCGCTCTCTTGGCACCGTGGTCAGCTTTGCACTTCTTCTCTTCGGTGAGGCGCGTGAGGTCCTTGCTGCACATCTTCTTGACGAGCGGGTTGAACCGAAGCGAGCTCGCCCTCTTGTCCTGTTCGCCCTCGAGCGCCTCGCGGCACGCCACCTCCATCTCCTCGTAGTGCATGTGTAGCAGGAGGCACACGGTGAGGTGGCCCTCTCCGTCCGGCTCTCCCTCGCACCACCGCTGCTTCGCCTGCTTGCAGTGCTGGTCCACGGCAGGGTTCAGCTGGGTGTCCTTCGAGGCTGCGAGCATGTAGGCCTTCTCCTTCTCGGCGCACGCGTCCGAGATGGTGCCAGGCACGCTCATGTGGTACTGCAGGCACTTGTGCACCAGGCCCTTCGTGCCCCGGGAATGCTTCTGCCTCTCCTCCGCCTCCCTGCAATACGCGTCGATGTCTGCCCTGCACACCGACCTGTGCGCGGGGTCCATGCTGGCATCGGCCGCGCGCTCACCGTGCTTGCGGCCTACGGCCTTGATGCAGTCCGGGTTGTTGATCTCGCTGCGCTTCTTGATGAGGCAACTTATGACGCTTCCGTGGCTGGTGAAGTCCCTCTTGGATGCGTTGGCCAACTCGCTCGGGCACAGCCTCTCCGCGTCCGCTCTGCAGTGCTTCGCCAGGCTCGGGTTCAGGAAGAACTCGCTGTGCTTGAGCTTCTGGTGGGCCATGACCACCTCGGCGCACTCCCGGGGCATGTCTGGACTAGCCCTCTGCTTGAAGAGGCACGCCCACACCCTGCCTCCACCAGGCTCCACGCCAGGGCACAGCTTCTCCATGACTGGGCCGCAGGCCTGCTTTGCCTCGGGACTCAGCCCGATCTCGACGGTCCTCGCCTCCTGGTTTTAGTTCGGGCGTGTCCCCCCTACATTCGGATTTTGAACGAACCAACATACCACAAATATGTTTAAACAAAAAAAAACATATAGTCAAAACTTGTGAAAACAGATCGTCCCCAGACTATGTTTTGCACTATTTTTGAATACTCCTTCTGTAGAGGGACAGGCCCGACTTAAATCCTGATTCTGGAACTCCACCGCGGCGCACTCCTTGGAGAGCTCCTCCCTGTTCTTGAGCAGGCACGCGTGCACCCGACCGCGCCCAGGCGGTACCTCGTGGGCGCGCAAACATGGATTGGCGATCTATGGATTTGGCGCGCGGCCGCCGAATCCATGGACCTGGGGAGGTGCTCTCCCCGAAAGGCGGCCGGTGCCGCCTCGCTCGGCGGCGGGAATCCGAGATTCCCAATGAAAACGGAACCCGTCGCTAGTCCACGCCTCAGCCCCTCCCCCCCGCCTCCTCCTCCTCCTCCTCCTCCTCCTCCTCCTCCTCCTCCTCCTCCTCCTCCTCACCCCCCCCGTGTTTGCGATCGCCGGAACACCTTCGGGCAGAAGCGGAACACGTCCCCCTTGCAGGCCTCGTAGGCCGCGGGCAGGACCCGTATGTTCTCGGCGCCCCCCTTGAGGTACCGGCCAACCTCTCGGGTGACCCACAAGGGGGTCCAGCTGAGGGGGGGCAGTGCCTTAGTGGGCCCTGGAAACGACAAGGCCGTTTTGTTTACCAATTCCGTTGCCGTTTTCTGAACGGTTCCGGCTCCGGTTCCAATCCTAGAGCCGTTTTTGTTGCCGTTTCCGGTCGCCGTTGTTTTGCCGTTTCCATCTTCAAGGGACATTTTTCCGGAAACGGTGAAATAACGGCCCTGCCGTTTCAGGGGCCCACTACGGCTAAGAGGGGGCAGTGCGCTGGATTTGGGTAGAGGAAAAAGAACTATGCACACGCACGGCACCTGGCCAGGCCCATCCTGAGCCCAGGATCGGTGCATACCGCCCTCCGACCTTGGCCAGGAAGGCATATGCACCGATCCTGGGTCAAGGATGGACGTTGTCAGGATCGGTGCATGTGCATAGTTCTCTTCGCCCGATTGAGGCAATTGCGCAGGAGACTTGTATGGCAGTGCCTTGCAAATAAGGTATTGCGCGCGAAAGTGCAGCAATGTACTTGCGCCCCAGAGTGTATCGCACGCCCCAACGGTCTTGCAACCCCGCAAATCTGTTGCACCAAATCTATTGCACCACCCCCTTGTCGCTGGACCCCCTTTTGGGTCAACCCGAAACCTCCTCCTCGCATCCCTCCTGAGCGATGCTGGGGGAACGAACAATGACATAACAACTCGGAGGTCCGCGCGGGTTTCTCGGATCGGCGCTGGGGTCCCCTGGCGGCGCCTCCGGCGCCGCCTCTGGCGCGCTCCGCGCGCCAGGGGCGTCCAGCGCGGATCCAAGACATCCGCGCGGACCTCCGAAGTTTCCCCAATCAGTGCTTGCACTGAACGGGTCCTAGCGGATATTGCAAGATTTGGAGAAAATTTCCCGCCGATTCTGGCAGCGGGCTGGGTTCCCGAGTTCCTGTTTCTGGGTTCCCGGTTCCCGGGCTCCTGGTTATTGGTTCCGGGTCGATTTCGGTGGGTTCGGGGTTCCCGGTTTCCCGGGTTCCCGGTCGATCTCCTTATCGATCTCCTTATCGATCCCACGATTCATCAAACCATCCACTAGTTGAGTTTTTCTCTGGTGTAATTTATATGTATGTCATTTTTCGTTCCCCTAGATGTCGCCAGAAGTGTACAGCTTGCCGAGGCAGTCGAGCACCGCCGTTCCGGGCTCGTGCTTGTGCTGTCGGCACCTGGCCTCCACGTCCTCTTGGCACTGGCTGGAGATGCCGTGCTTCAGCTGCCAGTCGTGGTTGTTCGCCTCCAGCTCCTCGGTCAGGGCCTCCTTGCAAGTAGGGGCAGTGGACTCGAGCTTCGCACTATCCTGCAGGAGAGCCCAGAATCGAATCGACAAGTCGGATCCGCGATCGAAATGAATCGGATCGGCAGACATCGGCAGCCAAGTCGGGAGAAGTCGAATCAGCAGAAATCGGCAGGCGAGTAGGCCTCCATTGAGGAATCGGAATCCAAATCGGAACCCGAAGCCGAATCGGATCGGAATCGGAGGCCATCGAAATCGAATCGAATCGAATCGGAGGAATCGAGGCGAGCCCCGATCCTGGAGGCACCTGAGCTGCTCCCTCCAAGCCATGCCGGGGCAGAGTTCCTCGGCGGCCTGCTTGCATAGCTGCACGGTCTTCGGGCTCACGACGAGACCGTCCCGGCCCTTCTGAAGGGTCCCAGGGAAACACAAAACGAATACACACAAATCACAGGATCACCCATACTTTCCTATATGTTTTAGGGTTTTATCTTCCCCTCCACTTCCCATGTTTTCCCATATTTTCCTAGGGTCGACAGATGACTTGCGCCTGTGTTTCTTAAACTCCTGACCTTCATCAATTTGCTCTGCACCAGCTCCGTACCGCGGCACTCCTCCCCCAGGTCTTTGAAGTGCCTCCGCAGGCAGACGTGGATCTCGTTCGGCTCCAGGCCGCTGCAGAAGTGGCTCAGCTCGGACTTGCACTTTCGCTGGATTTCGGGATCGAGGTTCGCGTGTGAGGACTGGATGCGCGCCACGCGGACGATCTCACGGTGGCACTCGGGCTGCAGGCTCTCGCTCTTTTCCTTCAGGCACCGGATCACCTGGCCGCCCTGGCCCTCCGAGCCGAAGAGCTGGCTGATCGGGAGCCTGTCCACGTGCTCCTTCTCCGCAGAGCAATGCTGTCCGATGTCATCCTGGCATTTGCTGCGGACACGGAAGTCCAACCTGTAGTCTGCCACCTGCTTGCCAACCAACTCCTTCACCATCGTCTGACACACGTCGTAGGTGCCAGTCTCGTGGTCAGTCTCGACGACCTTCTCCCACAAGCACTGGACAACCCTTGCCTCACCGAACGGGACGTCCTTGCACTCTGCCGATATTGCCTCCTTGCACGACTTGAGCAGTTCCCGGTTGAGGCGGACATCCTCCGACTCCTCGACATCCTTCTTGAAAAGAGCCTCCTTTGAAAGGGCCCGGGAACGAAACATTCAATTCACAAAAACCCAAGGATCCCCAATATCTTACCACATCTTCTGGACTCTTTTCTTCACCTCCTCTGCCCATACTTTCCGTAGCTTCCTGGGTACCGACGAGTGGTGTCTGTGCGTTTTTGTCCCTCTTGATCCTTGCATCCCTCTGAGAGCAATTCTCGATGCTTCGGGGATTTGAGGCAGGACTTGCGGGCGGGGGGCGCAGCATGGGCGCACGCCTCGATGCCCTCAAGGTCCGCCTTGCGAGGGCCCCTGAAACTAAGACTTTGAGGAACCAGGCTGTTGTTGGGCAGGGACCGACCGTCATGGCATCCCTATAGGTCTACAAAGGAATGTTCTCACGACAAAGAACACAAACTAACGTTCGAATGACAAAAAACTGCGCTTAGAGCAGACAAGCCGACGTGTTGAAACACGACGATCTCAGCCACACGAGTCCTAAGAGCATGTCGCACAAACCACAGAAGGGGTTCGTAGAACATTCTTTGGTGGGAGTGCGGGCAAGCCAGGACGCTTCGCCACAGCTTGCTGCTGGCGCGCCGGCGACCACTGCAGCCGCGGGTCGAACCCTTCTTCTCCTCATCCTTCCTCCTCCTCCTCCTCCTCCTCCTCCTCTTCCTCCTCCTCCTCCTCCTCCTCCTCCTCTCCTCCTCCTCCTCCTCCTCCTCCTCCTCCTCCCTCCTCCTCCTCGCCTCCTCCTCCGCCTCTCCTCGTCCTCCTCCTCTCTCTCCTCTTCCTCCTCCTCCTCCTCCTCCCCTCCTCCTCCTCCTCCTCCTCTCCTCCTCCTCCCTCCTCCTCCCTCCTCCTCCTCCTCCTTTCCTCCTCCTCTCCTCCCTCCTCCTCCTCCTCCTCCTCCTCCTCCTCTCCTCCTCTTCCTCCTCCTCCTCCTCCTCGTCCTCCTTCTCGTCCTCCTTCTCCTCCTCCTCCTCCTCCTCCTCCTCCTCCTCTGCTCCTCATCCTCCTCCCCCTCCTTCTCCCCTCCTTGTCCTCCTCGTCCTCCTCCTCCTCCTCGTCTCCTCCTCCTCCTCCTCCTCCTCCTCCTGCTCCTGCTCCTCCTCCTCCTCCCTCTCCTCCTCCTCCTGCTCCTGTCCTCCTCCTCCTCCTCCTCCTCCTCCTCCTCCTCCTCCTCCTCCTCCATGCTTCGGTCTCCTCGGGTGAGACTCGTCAAAATCCTGGTTCGCAACGTCCTGGTTTCGGGGGCCGTGAGCCTTGCAGGCCTTGTAGGTGGCCGGATCAAGCGTCATGTCCCTCGCCTGCATCTCCTGCACCTTGAAGACCTTCCTTGGGGGAGCCAGTACCGCTACTCCCCGGACCTCTCCTGGGGTGCGTTCTGACCAGAATGTCGAGGCGAATCCACCCGTGGCGATGAGGGCCTCCCAAGGGGCCCAGAAAAGGTGAAAACGAGAAAAGGGTAGCTGTATCGGCACCTTTTCCTCCCCCGATTCCTCTTGCACGGGCTGGACAGATCGGCGTTCCTCTCCTTGAGGCGCTGCACAAACAATGGCCGGCAGAATGTGCGGGGCCTAGGGTGTGGGGGGGGGAAGGGGACGTACTGAAACAAGAGGGGAGGCACGATATCTTGGACATATCAAGGCCTTCGGCTATGATGTCCACCCCCCCCTTAGTCACCACACCCCTCTTGGCCGCCCCCGATCCTTGAGGCACTGCGTGAGCGTGGCCCCGTTCAGTCCTGGGCAGAACTCCTCGATGTCCTCCCCGCAAGCCTTCGCCATGCCGGGCACCGGTTCCACCCAGAACTTCTGGCCTCCACGCTGGCCGGGCTGCTTCGGGTCGGCCTCCTTGGCCTCGTGCTCTAAGGCCCTGAACAGGAAGAGGCCTACCTGCGCGGCGGAAGAAGCACATCGGAGGAGAAGCACGGGCCAGCACCATCGAGGACCTGCCAGTGAGAGGCCGAGCCCTGGGCGGCAGCATGCTCGAGCGTTTGTCGGCGGCGAGCCAGGGGTTGGAGTGAGAAGGGGCGGGCCTTCTCAGAGGGCTCGGAAATCCCCCGGCCTTCTTACAGTCGGGGCCTTGACCTAAGGAAGCCTAAATCAGGAACGAGGCACCTTTTTTCCATAAGTTAAAGTTCAACTTACGATCGAAAGCATAAGGAAAACCTGCGGCAAGCTGTGAAACACTTAAGGAACGCGGAGCCCCTCCCCAACGAAAAAGGTTCCTTCTTCAGGGCCCCGACTGTAGAAGTTTTCTGAGCCCTTCCCGAAGGACGCAGAGAACCTCTCAGAAGGCCCGAGGGCTTCTGAGAGGCCCCGTCGCCGTCGGAGAGGGCCTTCTCCTCCTCACTTCCCCCCTCGGTCGCCGCCGACTTTTGGCACATGCCTCATAGCCCTGAGCGGCGGATGAAGAATCGGCTTTGTGCACGAGGGCACGGAGGCCTTTGCGAGGCGGCTTGCGCACGCCGTCAACTCGCCACATCGCGGGGAGACGACGGCACTGACGGCCGACCTTCGTTACGCTGGCGATCTATTCGACAATGTCCACGGTGTCGACGTCTTTCCCTCAGATTCTAAGCGGGGGTTATTGTCCCCCTTGCGGCCAGATTGCTGGGACCTCTCGGGCGAGGCACTCGTGTTGCACCTCCGACTCCTCCCTCCTGATAGCTTCAGGATCACCGCGATGCAGCAGGCGTGGCACTTTGGCCCCCCAAGGACGAGCCGCCAGGGAGGAGGACACTTGCTTTTTCGCCGCCAGATTGCAAGAATGCTTCGAGGGAGGCGCTTGTCTGGCGTTAACAACACTCCTGCCTTCAGAGCCTCCTGAACAGCACGATGTAGCACACACACACAACACTTGGGCACCCCAAAGAAGACAGCCGAAGGGCGTCACACTTGCCCGCCCGTGGCCAGATCGTGAGGGCGGCTCAGGCGAAGCGCTGCTTTGTGCACTCCTGACTTTATCACGTTCATGGTCCCAAGGTCCTCCCGATGAAGCAGGCACAGCAAGTGAGAACCCCCGAGGGGAACCGCCAAGGAGCACTCAGTCGCCACACGCTAACATTCTCCCACCCTGGCGCTCACAGCGGGAAGTGCCAGAAAATGAGATGCACAGATGTGGACCCAACAACCGAATAATCAAGTGTGTGACGCCTCAACCTTTGCCTCCTCGCCCTCCCGCTTTATCCCTGTCACAGACAGTCTCCCTCGTAGTCAGACTCACGTCCGACACTCACTCAGACCTCACAAACTCCGACTCACGCATGCTCAGATTACCCATGCCCAGACCATACTCGCACACACGCACACACGCACACCCACACACACACTCACACACAGGCACGCGCACACAGACAGACTCACACACAGGAGACAGGCAGACACACAAACAACACACACGCAAACAAGCGCACACAATTACATTCACTGATGTTCAGACCAACTCGTACTCAGACCCGCCCATGCTCATGAATCACACTTAGACTCAATCAGATTCAGAATCATGCTCGGACTTGCCCACACTGTCACTCACGCTCAGACCCACTCATACCTGCTCCTCGTACTCTCAGTCACCACTGATCGCCGCGATGCGGCAGGCATAACACTTGGGCACCCCAGGGAGGGGAGCCGCCATGTGGTCGGACGCTTCCCCGTTTGCACCCAGAGTGCGTTCCCGACTCCTGTCTTTTGAGAGCCTCGGGATCAACTCGAGACTGCAGGCGTGACACTTGGACACCCCAAGAGTGAGCCGCCAAGGGGGGCAGGACATGCCGCTGCTCGCGCCCAGACGGTGGGCACGTCTCGAGCGCGGCGCTCGCCTGTCGTCGCCGGCTCCTCGGCCTTGAGAGCCCCGTGACCCCCTCGATGCGACGGGCAGAACGTTTGGGCACACCAGAGGGGAACCGCCAGGGGGAGGAGATCTCCCCGTTCGCGCCCAGATCGTGGGGATGCCGGATGCCTCGAGCGATGCGCTCGCTTGGCGCCGCCGACTCCTCATGATCATCTCGATTCAGTAGGCAAAGCTGATGGGCCTGTTTTACGCCATCACAACCGCCATGAGTTGGAGGGGGGGGGTCCTCCTCCTCCTCCTCCTTCTCCTCCTCCTGCTCCTCCTCCTCCTCTTCGTCCTCCTCCTCGTCCTCCACCTCTTTCCCCCCTCCAACTTACGGTGTTGGTGGTGGAAACCAGGCCCATCAAAAACACTTAGACATCCCACGGAGGAGCCGTCAGGGGGTGTTGCACCTTCCCGTTCGCGCTCAGACTTTGGGGATGTCTTGCGAACGAAGCGCTGTTTTGGGCACGCTCGACTCCTCTAAAGGGGCCCAGGGACACACAAATGAATACACACAAATCCCAGGATTCCTAGACTTCCAAATGTTTTCTGGGTTTTCGTCTTCCCCTCACTTCCCATCTTTTCCCACATGTTCCTGAGAGTCGACGATGAGTTGTGTCTGTGTGTGTTTTTTCCCCTCCTGATCCTCTCACTTCAGAGCCCCATCATCACCACGGTGTAGTAGGCACACAAGTGGGGTACTCCGACAGGGTGCCGCCAGGGGTGTTACACTTGCCTGTTCGCGGCCAGCTCGTGGGAGCGTCTCGATCGCAACGCCGTATTGGGCGCCCCCGACCTCTCTCCTGTCAGAGTCCCAAGATCATCCCGATGCAGCAGGAGTAGCGCTTGTCACTGCGCCGACCTTGCAGACGTGATGTGACGGGTCTTTGCGTGGATTTCTGCCGGTGCAAACCTCGAAACGGCGAGTGAGAAACGAAGTGGATTCCGCGTGGATTTTTTGTTCTCATTCCTGGCAAGAACAAATCCGCACGAAATTCACCTCGAAATCCGAACGAGATTCTCTGGGACACTCCAGGCCCATCCCTTCGTTTTCCGAACGAAATTCGCTCTGCGATGTTGGTGCCATGACACATGGACACTCCAAGGGGGAGCTGCCAGGGTGCGCTCAGTCGCCACGAGCAAAGCTCTCTCACTCAGGCACTCACAGCGGGAAATGCCAAGACATGACATGTACATTACGGGATCTCTGTTCCGAGAAATTGCCGCATTGCCCACCTCCTTCTTGCACTGCGCCGGGATGTCGTCCTCCTCGTTCCGCGACTCGGCGGCCTTGAAAAACTCGAACAGGCAGTGTGCCAACTGGCCGTTGCCGGCGGACACCGTCGAGCACTGGCTCGAGATCACGTCTTTGCACACGCCGTCCTTCTGGACGTCGACCTCGCTGAGGTTCACCTCAAGAGTAAACAGATTGTTTGCAAAAAGACACCGTCGACCCGTAGAGTAAGGACGCACCATGCGGATGCGAGGGTGCAAGGGCCTTGGAACGCCCCGTCGACACCTTGCCAGCGGGGCGCGGCCAGCGAGAGTGGCCCAGGACTTGGGCCGACGGGGAAGGCTGCAGGGGCAACCTTGGAAAAAGCTGCCCATCCTCACGATGCGGGCCGACTGTCAACGGCACGGGCACGAGCTTTCGGAGGCAGGCCTGAGCTGGACCGAGTCGCGAACTTGGATCGGGTCGGAAACGCCTCGGATCGCCAGCGGAGCGCCCCGACCCGCCTCGGAGCCGAATCGCCACGCCCAGCCCCGGCGGGCCCGGGCCGAGGCGGGTGGAGCAAGCCACGCCGAATCAAGACGGAGGCGCGGGCCCCGTCCGCGAAGCGAGGGCCGCACCGCACCGCACCGTGGGGCGACCCTGGGCGGTCCGCGCGGCCTTCTGGGATCGGCTCTGGGCCCCACGGTTAGGTCGGGCCTGTGCCTCTACAGGAGGAATATTCAAAAGTAGTCAAAAGATAATCAGGGGACTATTTTTGGAGCATTTCTGGGCCATCTTGGGATAGTTGTGGAGTCTTTTCTTTATCTTTCATCGACAATCCCCCTGCAGGGGGACACGCCCGACTTCACCCCACGGGGGGCGACGCCGCCGCCGCCGCCCCCGGGCGCGCTCCTCCGGGCAGGAGGGGGGTCGCGGGGGGGGGGGGGGGGCAGCGCCTCTCCGGGAACTCCGCGCGAGCCTGCGGCACCGTGCTGCACCGCGAGGGGCGCCGAGGGGAGAGGGCACGCGTGGGGCGCCTCTGGCCACGAGCAGGGGCCGCGGCCACGAGCAGGGGCCGACCCGACCTCCCCCTCCCTCCCTCCTCCTCGCTCCCTCCCTCCCTCCCTCCTCCTCCTCCTCCTCCTCCTCCTCCTCCTCCTCCTCCTCCTCCTCCTCCACCTCCTCCTCCTCCTCCACCTCCTCCTCCTCCTCCTCCTCCTCCTCCTGCTGTCCCGCTGCCTCGCCCTGACCGTGCTCCTGGGATCTGCGGGACGGCCCGAGGGCCCGAGACCCTCCCGAGCTGCGCCCGAGCCCGCAGTCGTCTCAGCGTCTCGACGGTGTGCTCATGGCTGCCCGAGCCCCTCGCGAGCCCGCAGTCGTCTCAGCGTCTCGACTCGGCTGTGCGCTCATGGCTGAGCAGGGGCCGACCGTCCCGGCAGTCTTCTGGGCCCGCCGCGAAGTGCTCCCAGAAAGCCCCAGACTGTCCTACGAGCAAAAACCAGATGCTCTCAGAAAACCAGCCCTATGTGTCAAGGCAAGCAAGCCTCAGCCAGAAATGTTCTGAGAACGTCCCGTGCAGACAACAAGCGACTATTAGAACATTCTGAGGTGGACGAAGACTGACATAAACATAAAAACTCGGAGGTCCGCTCGGACTTCTTGGATCCGCGCTGGACCCCCCTCCCAGGCGCGCGGAGCGCGCCAAGGGCGGCCCAGGGGGGTCCACCGCCGATCCGAGAAATCCGCGCGGACCCTCGAGTTTTTATGCCTATGTCATTCTTCGTTCCCCGAAGTCTTTGGTGGACCTATGGTTAGTTAGGTCGGGCATGTCCCCCTACAGGGGGATCTGGGACGAAAAATAAGACATGCCCCAAAAAGATGTCAACATAGTCGAACCGCATCGCCCCCAGACTATTCCTGGGCCTCTTCTTGAACTTTCCTCCTGTGCAGAGGGACAGGCCTGACTTCGGCCTGTGGGCGAGCCAGGACGTCTCGCCGGAGGCTCTTCTTCTTCCCCCGGAGGCCTGGGCCCCGAGGGCCGACAGCTCGCCGGAGCTGCGGGCGGAGGATGGGGAAGAGGGAGAGGAGGAGGATGGGGAGGAGGGAGAGGAGAGAGCTCCACGTCGGGCCGACTGCGCCGACGTGGAGCTCTCCTTCCCCCCGGAGGCCTGGGCGCCGAGGGCCGGCAGCTCGCCGGAGCTGCCCCGCCCCAGGGCCGCGGCCAGGAGCAGAAACAGCCCCGCCCGCGCCATGGCCCGCCTCTGACAGCCGCGGGTGCTCCGCGCTCCGCAGGGGCGCGCGGAGGATGGGGAGGAGGGAGAGGAGGAGGAAGGGAGGAGGAGGAGGGAGAGGAGGAGGAGGAGAAGGAGGAGGAGGAGGAGGAGGAGGAGGAGGAGGAAGCGGAGGAGGAGGAGGAGGCGGTGGAGGAGGAGGAGGACCAGTGGAAACCCAAGGGTCATCAACGATGTTGGAATGAACCCTCCCTCCAAGCTCCCTCTTCATAGGCCCCTACAACGGTTCATTCCCATTGAGGGAACTGCCTCGTTGGAAGACAATACTTGAAGGTTCTGAAGCGTGCCAAAACATTGTTCTCGGGATTTCAACGCCACGTATCAACCTGACTGCTGTGTCTTGACGATCCAGAATCGCCTCAGAATGCAATTTTTGGGGACTTCCACACAGCGAATCAACATGACTGTTGCGCCCGCGTAATCCTGAATCCTTCCAAAAACACCATTTCTGGTACGTTGATCATGGGAATCCGTGAAACTCATGCAATTTCAGAACAAAACATCTAGTGTGCGCCGCGCTAAAGCGAGAGCCACATTTTGGAAAGGAGCCGCCCACAATCAGTGAAGCTCTTGTACTTCTTAGCACGAATGTGCGCGGCGCTACGGCGAGAGCCACATTTTGACAACGGCCCGCCCTCAATCCGTGAAGCTCTTCAAAAAGTTAATACGAATGCGCGCGGCGCTGAAGCGACAGCCACATTTTGAAAACGACCCGCCCTCCATCTGTGAAGCAGTTGTTGTTGTCACTTTTAAATCTTAAATCTTCAGAAGCAGAAGTGGTGAGGAAGTCTCAGGCGAAACGCCCGGCCCGCCCTAAAAACTGGCCTCGGGGTGCGACAGGGAGGAGTTATCGGTAAGGAAAAGGACTGGAGGAGGAGGCCGCAGCGCGAGGAGGAGGAGGAGGCGGAGGAGGAGGTGGAGGAGGAGGCGGAGGCGGCGGGAGGCGGGCGTCGGGAGGCAACTCCTGGGAGGCCTTCGCTACGGCGACTGCTCCGAGTTGTCTAACATAGGAAGGAACGCAACAACCGCTACCATAATAAACTGTTGGCGCTCCACCAAGACGCTGCAAGCAATACTTTTGAGCACCAAAACGCTGCATACAACAATTTGAAAACCGAGACGCTGCAAACAGCAACTTTCAGCACCGAAACGCTGCAAACAGCAATTGGTGCACGGAGCCGGGCAACCCAGATGTGGTGGGAGGAAGCCCGGGACTTAGCCGAATCGTGCGGAATGGAGCCATATGAGATGGGATCTGCCAGAATAGATCCGCTTTCGACTGAAGATGTCGGAAGTTAGGGGGTGAGATGGAAGGACCCCGCGCCTGGAAATCGGTTTCGGCTCTGTGCCAGCGTCGTGCGAGACGAAACTGCGTGGGCGGGCGAGAGGACGCCGGGCCGAAAGCCCCCCCCCCGTGTTTTCTGGCGGTGGCTCGGGGTGTCTCGTCGGTGTCCCGTCGGTGTCCCCTACGTGTCTCGTCGGTGAGATCGATAGTGAGATCGATCGTGAGACGTTGATTGCCCCCCCGAACTTCCTTCTGACACGAAGGGTGGTCGAGTAGGTATTTGCCAGCCGATGCTGAACTCAACCACCCCAGGAGTTGCATCCTGACAGGCAGGCGTCTTGGCCCAGCACAGGTGCTTTTGGTCCAAATCGGCTACGGCCCGAGGGCGACAGCGATGATGATGGTGGCCGTGGAGGTGGTGCGAAGGATGAGGGTGGTGAAAACGAGAACGTCGTAGAGGATCGACGGTGGGAGGCGCAGCGTGAGAAGGGGGGGAGGCGGTAGAGTGGCGCTGGCAGCTCTTGGAGCAACAGGGCCCGACAGAGCCACGATGCCCCTGGCCCGACAGGGCCAGGGGCGGCGGGAGGTTTTTGGTAGTTGGTCTTCGGCCTCTGGGGGCCTTCGCCAGGCCCCGGGGCCGTCCACAAACCGACCCTGGGCGAGAAGCGGGTCCTGGGGAAGGGGCCTGGACCTCTGGGGAGGCGTTCACGACGTCGGGGGTCTGGGGAGGAGGAGGAGGAGGAGGAGGAGGAGGAGGAGGAGGAGGAGGAGGGCCAACAGGACCGCGGGCGGACAGGGCCGGACAGGGCCGGCGAGGAGGAGTAAAGGTCACGAAGGGGGCGCCGGCCTGGCGCCCCACGCTGGCTCCCGTGCTGTCCGCTTCTCCCACCCGGTGCTTCGTCGGGGAGCTCTGGGGGGATGCAGGAGGCAGAGAGAGGGGGCGGAGCCAGAAAACTGGGAGGCGAGGGGATGGTTGGTGGGCGGCGAGCGAGGGGAAGGGGGGGGGAAGAGACGGATCAGGCCTTCCCAGAAGGCGGCGGGACTTCTCAGAAGCCCTGGCGCCTTCTGAGAGATTGTGTCTTCGGGGAGAGCTGCCGTAACTCCTGAGCAGGCTGGGGGTCTTCCGAGCCTTCTGAGAAGGCCTTCGCCTTTTCATTGCTCCCCTCGCTCGCCGCCGAAGTAGAGGGCCGAAGGAGGGAGGCAGGAGGGGAGCCTCGCACGCAGGGCTTCTTGGGCCGCTCCCGGGAGCCTCTTGGGGCTGCGTGGGGGGCGAGGGTGCTCTCCATGGAAGCCTCTTGCGGACAACTCTCGCCTCGCGGTGTGCGAATCTCCCGAGGCCACGCCCAGGACGAAGGAAGCAATGCCCACCACCGAGCAGCGCCGCGAGGCTCCAGGCTGAGACTTCTCCTCCCCCTCCTCCTCCTCCTCCTCCTCCTCCTCGTCCTCGTCCTCGTCCTCCTCCTCCTCCTCCTCCTCCTCCTCCTCCTCCTCCTCCTCCTCCTCCTCCTCCTCCTCCCCCATCCTCCATCCTCCTCTTGCTCCTCCTCCTCCTCCTCCTCCTCCTCCTCCTCCTCCTCCCTCCTCCTCCTCCTATTCGCCTCCTCCTCTTCTCCTCCTCCTCCTC